GAACAATCGGCTACTACTATCCAGGACCCAAGCCACACGGTAACTGGTAGGATCCACCCACCCACCGCTCACACCCAGCCCTTCCTCCAGTTCCATCGGACCGTTGCAGCCATGGCGGGTATGCGCCCCGCAGCGCAGTCGGAGCGCGAGCAGCAGGAGGCGGAGCCGCTGCCGGGGCTGAGACGCACCGTGTGGGGGCAGCTGGACCTCAAGCCGCGCTTCCCCAAGCTCGAGTCGCACGTGCACGCTGACGTGGCGGTGATCGGCGGCGGGATCGCGGGGCTGAGCATCGCGTACGAGCTGCAGCGCAAGGGGAAGTCGACCGTCCTGCTGGAGCGCCGCTGCATTGGTGAGACTTCGCCGCCCCCGCTCTGCTGCAACACTAAATTGGTCTTATAGAGGTTTGAACTCCGTTCTCGTGTGCGCTTGGGGTGCGGCGCGCAGGGTCGGGGCAGACGGGGCGGACGACGGCGCACATAATGGCGTGGAACGACGACTTCTACATGAACCTGGAGAAGAGCTTCGGGCGCGACAACACGGGGCTCGTGGCGGAGTCGCACCGGCAGGCCATCGCGTGCATCGAGGACACCGTGGCGCGAGAGGCCATCGACTGCAAGTTCACGCGCCTCCACGGATACCTCTTCCCGCACGACTCCAAGCCCTCCACGCTGGAGATGCTCCACCTGGTAATTAGCTCGTAGGGTAACCAGCTGCATGGTGGTAACCGTGTTATGTTCCTACTTGCCGGTTGACTGTTGCCTTCCCTCACCTGCCTCCTTTCAGAAATCAACTCATCATCTTCTGGCACCTCTCTCCTTGTCTTCCCACCAGGAGTACGAGGCGTGCAGGAGGGCGGGGTTCACGGATGTGTACATGGCGGACCTCAAAGGCGACCCTGCACTCGGCTCAGTGCACAAGGCCATCTGCTTCCCCTCCACCGCCGAGTTCCATCCCCTCATGTACGCGCCTGCTTCCATATCCCTTGTTGGACCACCTGCCCTTCCTTTCTTCCGCCCCGCCCTGCCCGCCCTGCACATGTGGCTCATGTCAGTCAGTCCTCTTCACTGCTCCGCCTGCTGACCCTCACACCACCATATCCCTCCAACATTGATCCCATACCCCTTTCAATCCCATGCTCTCCCCCCCTCTCTCCCCGTCTACCTCCCCCTGCTGCCTCCTTCCCTCTCTCCTTCCCTCCCTCCAGGTACCTGAACGGGTTGGCGGACGCGTTTGTACGTCACGGGGGGCGCATCTTCGAGCAGACGGTGGCGTTCCGCGAGGAGGGGTCGGTGACGGGCGCGGGGGCGGGCGCGGTGGTGGCGAACAAGGACGGGCGCGGTGTGGTGCACGCGGGGGCGGTGGTGCTGGCGACCAACTCGCCCATCAACCACAACCTGCTCGTGCACGCTCGCCAGCCCGCTGACAGGAGTTATGTTGTGGGGCTCCACCTGCCCAAGGGCTCCGTCAAGTGCATGTGGGCGTGTGGCCATGAGCTGGGCTGGGTTAGCTGTTAGTGGGGCACAGCGCGCTCTGTTCACGGTCAGTTCACGGGCACAGCCACGGTTTCTCCATAATTGCGCCTTGGCCTTTGCACTGTCGCAGCCTTGGCCTCCCTCCCGATTCAGCGAAGCAAGCACCGAGCACACAGCACTGAGTCTTTCCTCCCCCCTTGCGTCCCCTGCCGCCCCTGGCAGGCGCGCCAACTGGTGGGACACGGCGTCGCCCTACCACTACGTGCGCGTGGAGGAGCAGGAGGGGTGCGACGTGCTGGTGGTGGGGGGCGGCGACCACCCCGTGGGCATGCCTGCCAGCCAGTACCATGACGTGTGGGGCGACCTCGAGCGCTGGGCACGGCCCCGCTGGCCCATGGCGCAGGAGACGCTCTTCCGCTGGAGTGGCATGGTGCGCACACAGGGAGGGGTGGTGGGGGGGTGGGGCATGGCATGCTGCTGGGTGGGGACGGGTGGTTGGTGGTGGGTGGTGGGTGGGAGGGCCATGACATGGGCTGCTGTGTGCCTTGACCTCCTGCTCATTCCATAACTCCCAACTTCTCGCCTGCTCACCCCCACAGCGCTTCCCCACAGGCATTCTTTGGTCGTCACTCCCTGCGCTCCCCTGGTGCTCTCCCACCCTGCTGTCCTGTGCCCACCCTGCTGTCCTGTGCCCACCCTGCTGTCCTATGCTGCTGCCCCACGTTGCCACCCCATGCGTGGCAGGTGTACGAGCCGATGGACTTCCTGGGGCTGTACGGCCGCAACCCCATGGACGCCACTCACACCTACATCGCCACTGGTATGCTCTTACTGTGATGTATCATGTCTGGCGAGGCAATGGAAACGACATGCACTGCCCAACGACTGCATGACCAACAGTCTGTCATTTCAGCTCCCTGCTCTCTCCCAGATTCCTCTCCCACTCATTTACATCTCACTAAATTCTTCCTGCTTCTCCTACTCTCTCACCCCACCCTCCCACCATCCCATCATGGTGCAGGTGACAGTGGGCAGGGCATGACGGGCGGCACCATAGCAGCCATGATCATATCCGATCTCATCTGCCGCCGCCCAAATCCGTTCGTGGAGATTTACTCGCCCTCGCGCCTGCCGCCCATATCCAAGGAGTCACTATCACTGGCTGGCTCTGTTGTCAGCCACACCTTTCAGGTACCACCTGCTCCGGTCAACACCCGCTGCAGGTAGCACCTGCTTCAGTCAACACACCTGCAGGTGGACAGAGCCGTACCCATGCACCTCATTGGCCGACCCTATGGGGTCACAGCTGCTCGCCTCACGCTGTGATGGTGGCAGTAGAGGAGTGGCGTGGCGTGAAGGGTTCGTTGTAGGGCCATGCACCCGCCTCACTGCCACCTCTGTGTGTGCTGCCATCCCTCACCGTGCCCTCACCACCACCACCACCACCACCACCCCTTCCTGCATGGCAGGGGTACAAGGACCGCTTGCTGCTGGTGCGCACAGATAGAATGGCTATGGGGACCTGGGGCGCGGGAGAGCACAGGGTGGTGCATGCAACCGTCTCACTGCCAATTGTGTGCTCCCATCCCCCCGCCTGTGCTCTCACACCCCCCGTATGCACGGCAGGGGTACAAGGACAGGCTGCCCCTGGTGTGCACAGACGGAGTGGAGATAGAGGATTTGGGGCGCGGGGGAGCGCACTGTTGTCCATCCATGCAACTGACTCACTGTCACCTCACTCTTCCCATCCCCCCACCATGCTCTCGCCACCCGCGGATGGCAGGGGTACTTGGACGCTTGCCCCTGGTGGGCACGGACGGCGTGGAGATGGAGGACCTGGGGCGCGGATGCGGGGCGGTGGTGCGCATGGGCGTGGGCAAGGCCGCTGTCTTCCGTGATAAGGACGGCCGCGTGCACGCCTTCTCAGGTGTGTGCTGCATGTGGGGGTGTGTATGCTGGGTGTGTGTATGCTGGGCGTGTGTATGCTGGGTGTGTGTATGCTGGGTGTGTGTATGCTGGGTGTGTGTATGCTGGGTGTGTGTATGCTGGGTGTGTGTATGCTGGGTGTGTGTATGCTGGGTGTGTGTATGCTGGGTGTGTGTATGCTGGGGGTGTGTATGCTGGGTGTGTGTGTGGCCTGTTGTGGGAGTGCTCTGCTGCAGGGGCGAGAGAGGGGCGTGTGAGTTTTGCAGGGGGGGGGGTATGCATGAAGCACCATTGTGCGTGTGCTCTTCTATAGGGGCCTACAGTGCATTCTGCGTGTGCTCTTCTATAGGGGCCTACAGTGCATTCTTTGCCACATGCCAGTCGTGCAATCATATGTTAAGTGCCTAAAATGCCACCTCCTCACTTTCTCTTCCCTCCCTTGGGATCTCCCTTCCCCTCCCCCCAGCAACATGTCCGCACATGGGGTGCAGCGTGCACTGGAACCCCAACGACAGTGTTCTAGGCGCCTCAAAAGCCACGTGGCTTTCTCTCTCCTCTTCCCCTCTCGGCCCCTCGTTCCCTCCCCCTCCCAGCAACATGTCCGCACATGGGGTGCAGCATGCACTGGAACCCCAACGACGCCACCTTTGACTGCCCGTGCCATGGCTCCCAGTTCGACCACCGAGGCCGCTGCATCAACGGCCCTGCCAGGGCTGACCTCTCACCCCTGGACCCCGGCCACACGGGGTAGTGCGTGCATGGGAGGAAGAGAGGAGATGGGCGAGGGGGGTGCTGCGCAGGGGGAGAAGCAAATGTGGAGTTGAGAGGTGCTTTATCGACGGTTCTTTGAATCCCAGATTGTGCCCCTAGACCCCTGCCACACAGGGTGAATGTGCATGGGAGGGAGGAGAGGTGGATGAGGAGTGGGAGACTGAGAGTGCCTGCCAATGCTTCTGCCAGAGTTAGCGCTGTGACGCTTAGAGTGCTTGGGTTGGGAAAATAAACCCGAGGAGTGGACCTGCTACCCTGTCCAAAGGCATGTGGGGTTCTATTGTAACCTTGGGCCGGGCCTTGGAAAGAAAAGCTAGGGATCTTAGAGAGGGAGTACCAAGCATGTAGCGGTATGCGCCAGGGTCAGGAGGAGTAGGTACAGTGTTGTGTGTGCTTTTCGTTACATGTACAGGTTGCACCACACATGTACATAGTCGTACATATTACATCAATTCTAACATTTCACTGAACTGTGTGTGGACATTGAGAAAACATCTAAAACATTGCAGATTCAGTTACCTACGTGCGGTATCTGCCTGAAAATATCATACGGAATACGCATGCACTTTCCACCCCAGTTGCACCCACATATAAACTACTGGTATTCTCCATGTTCTCAGCCAATTATGTTGGTAGGTCAGCGTACATACCATGTGTCTTCCATAATTATTACACATGCACGAGCTGTGCAACAAGGTTTAATGTTCCCATGTGCTATCTCTTCTGCCCCAACTCCTACAAGTTCATGTCTGTCAATCAATTTCCATTTCTCGTACCGGTACCATAAAACAATCGAAATGCCACTACACCTAGTGAACCACCTAATGCAGGTCAAGGGCGCGGGCGTGACAAGGGGGGCGTGGGGGCGACGGTGCAGGGGTTGTGAGCAAGGGCGGTGAGCAGGATGCGCATGCGCACGTGGCCCTGCCCCATCACTATGTTCATTATGGATGCTGATGCATTGGCTGTCAGCAGCAGCTGCCTGGCTTGGGTGCATGTGAGGGAAGGGCAGTGTGGGTGGGACCGATGGTGGGGGGAAAAGGGAGTGGTCAGAAGAGGTTAAGATGGTTTGAGCTGGCATGCCTGGATGCATGTTGAGGCGAGTTTTGTCGACTCAAAACTTGGTCTCATTTCACATGCACTAGAGGTCAACAGCCGTTTCTGGCATGAGCATGGAGGCTGTGCACACATCCCTTCTCCTCCACTTTCTCTCTTTGCGCTCCTGACCTCTTCTCTCTCCCTTCCTCCCATTTCTTCCCTTCCCCCCTGGACGCACCTTGCAGTGAAGACGGCAGTGGAGTTGATGAAGAGGTGCACCTGCGACTGGTTCGCTGCCACCTGGTAATCGGGACAGGGGGAGAGAGGGGAGGCCACGCGGAAGAGAAGGCGCGGAGAGGAGTGAGGACGGGAGAGAAGGAGGAGGGGATAGGATGGGGAACACAAGAGTCAACGTAGGAACGGTTGGTGGGGTGCAATAAACAAGGAATGCGGCATGAAAGGAAGGGCGAATTGATTGACACGAACACTGATAGCCTCGCACTTCCACACAGTGCTCTGGTGTCTCACAGTGCTCAGGTGGCCATTAACAAAGCCAAAGGAGGCCAGTGGGGCCGTCAGGTTGCTGGCAGCAAACGGGCCGCCGCCAAAGTCCCTGCTGGGGGCGAAGAAGCCCCTAACAGCGCGCCACGTGGCAGTGGGCACGGTCCACGCGGACTGGAAGGAGCCGTACGTCTGGTCGATGGCGAATGGCGGCACCTCCGAAGCTGATTAGGTTCTGCATGAGGAGATGGGGAGGGGAGGGGGCGTTAAGATGCAAGGGGACAGTGAAAGATGGTAGATACTGGTGAGAGCAAAATGAGGGAGAAGGAAAGAGAGGGAGCAGACAGAGAGAGCGGGAGGAGGCAGGGAGAAAATAGAGGGAGGGGAGAGAGAGGAAGGAGAGGGAGAAATGCACGGGATTGACAGGAAGACTGAGGCGGAGGGGGAGGGCGCGCACTGGAGAGGTTGAGAGTGGGCAGGAAGGCAGCGATGGTGCCGGTGGCGTTGGCCTGTGCAACGACGGACGCTGGCGCGGGTTGACCCGCGGGAGTGATGCCCGTCAGTGACGTGTTGCTGATGCGCGCCTGTGGGGTGGGGGGGGGAGGAGCGCGGGGGAAGGGGGCGGGGGGAGGGGGGGAGGAGGGGAAATGGTGGGGGACTTGGAGTGCGGAGGGTGAGGGAAAGTAAGGAGGAGCAGGACGAAACTTTGCGGGTGCTGAAAGGGTGATGAAAGAAGGAAGCGGCGAATCCACTTTCGCCATTTCGTGGGCTGCTGAGGTCAGCTGCTGCAGTCACTCCCACGCTCACCAGGGTGATATTAAAGGACGTTCTTATATCGGTGCACTCGATCACATCCACCGTCACAGTGCCTGCCAATGAAAAGCCTCCCGGGGTAACGACAACCGATGCGAGCTGCCCTTCTTTCGGTGGAATCTCCGAGTCCCACGTCAGATTTGACCGACTCGGGTCAACGCGGAACGTGATTGGCCCAGGCTGCGCGCTGACGTGGCACGCTAGTATCCACTGAGCGAGCGCCACGGCAGCAAGAATTGGCATGACATGGCAGAGGAGACGGGCGTTTCGCGCGAACGTGAAGAGCGTCATAGTGGTACCGCTTTGAAAGAATCTGACAGCGCGAAGGGCGGCTGCTTATCAATCGGGAACGCTGGAACGAGCGAGCGAAAAGAAGAGGAGACTAAGCGACCGAAAGAGGACGACGGGGAGGATTATGTGGATACAACGGTCCCACGCGGCGAGTGACGAGCCCTGCTGGACGAATGATTGGCGGAAGGAGGCCCAGCGGCGGAAAGACTGGGCGCGGAGAGAGCGCGGTGAGAACGCGGCGGGAGAGCGCCGGGAGAAAGCGAGAGAATAACGAGTGCGTGGAGAACAGGAGCACGAGGATTCCGATGATAGTGGCTCGCTGCGACAAGGTAACGACGCTTCCGTGGCGCGCGGGAGGTCCGTCCAGCCATGACTGCTGCCGCCATGCATGCGCACGTCTCGCGTCTCGCGCGCGTCGAAAGGTGTTGCAGGATTGCGGGCGAGCCGATGACACGTTTGTCGCGACGAGCAAGCTGGCAGTGAGTTTATCCCTCAAATCTATCGGAACATTGAGCACCTGGGAATGTGATGGTTTTGATGCAATCCAGGTTGGATTCCTTGGCGTTGGAGAATATAACGTGCACATCATGAGGATACAAGCGAAGCTGGCTTCAGCGAGGTAAAGCTCGGGTTCTGTTTCGGAAGTCGAGATGGCAGTTTGTGAAGCCTGCCACGTCGTTGAAGAAGGTCCTAAGATTGCCACGTCGACCAAGTAGGTCCAATGTGGTATTTGAGATAAACGGAGAGTGCAATAGCGTGTTTGGATTCTCCTCCCCCTCGCCTCACCTCACCTTCCTTTCACCTTCAATTACTGAAGCCCTCTGATTTCCTTGCTCAACTCCGATTCTTCCAATTCCTCCGTTGCTGTGGTTCCGACGACATCTCTCAGCTTCTCGGCGGCTCAGCATCTCTGAATCCTCAGTCATCTGTTTCCGTGTTTTGTAAGCATCCATAATCACCGCCATAGTGCATAAATCCCATTTACGAGCCTTTTCATGGCCACCACAGCATCCCTGCTCTCGGTGCCTCTCTCTGCATCCTCGCTTCTCGCAAACAAGCAATTAGGCCGAAATCATAGCCTCCCCCTAGCGTTGCGATCACCGGGACACGTGGCAGCCGTTGGTAGGGCGAAGGCAGTGAGGTCTGTGTTGCTGGGCGTCGTCGTTGCGTCGTCGTGGGCGCGGCCCGGCAGCGCGCAGGCGAGCGGGGGAGGCGGAGAGGACGCGCCGATGGCGGTGGTGAAGAGCGAGGAGGAATGGCGCGCGATTCTGTCGCCGGAGCAGTTCCGGATTCTGCGGATGAAAGGCACCGAGTGAGTGGGCGGGGAGGGAACCAAGAGGAAGGAACGAGGCCTTTGCTGTTGCAGAAAAGATCACATGAGCACAAAATAACCAACACTTAGGCTGCGGTTCAGTGCAAGTAAGTCTGTGACAGTTCGAATTGATGTCTGAGTGGAGGAAAGCGCACGAGTTTGTAAAAGAACCGAACTTACGGCAGGTGAAAGCGCGCAATGCCAAGTTTTTGGTCCTTATGATGCTAAGTGGGGCTACCCCGTCGCCTCCGGGACTACCACGTGGCCCTTAAGGATACCACGTGGCCCCTAATGATACCACGTGGCCCCTAAGGATACCACGTGGCCCACTAAGGATACCACGTGGCCCACTAAGGATACCACGTGGTCCCTAAGGATGCCACGAAGGATACCATGTGGTCTCTAGGGCTTGTAATGTCTAGACAAATATAATGACTCCACTGTGCACCCCTATGCATCCTCCACTTGTTCGCGTTTTCAGGTACCCCGGTACAGGACAGTACAACAAGCACTACGAGGAGGGGGTGTACAACTGCGGTGGCTGTGGCACGCCCCTGTACAAGTCCACCACCAAGTTCAACTCGGGGTGCGGCTGGCCCGCTTTCTTCGACGGTCTGCCCGGAGCCATTAAGCGAAACATTGACGCAGACGGGCGGCGAGTGGAGATAGTGTGTGCGGCATGTGGGGGACACCTGGGGCACGTGTTCAAGGGCGAGGGGTTCCCCACGCCCACGGATGAGCGGCACTGCGTGAACAGCGTGTCGCTCACTTTCACTCCAGCAGACGCGTAGTGGCTGGGCGTGGCAGTCACAAGGATGTATTGAAAATGGCAGCTTGGATGATGTGATGTGATGCTGGCGAATAAAAGAAAACATGTTGTAGGAGGTATGGGTTGGCGAGGGTAGGTGGAGTTGGTTGAGAGTTCTCTGTTGGAGTTCCGCAAGCCGCAGCCTTGTACCCATACATGCTGCAGTGAACGATGCATCATGCCCTGTGATGTGCTCCACTCACTGGAACGGCTGATTCCTTTCCTGCTAGAGACAAGTGGACTGGGAATGGTGCCACAGCTGTTCCCAGCTAACCCAAGGAGACCTGAGGAACATGAGATCATGAGTGATTGGGATTGATTCATTATTCAATTGCACAAAGCTGCAACTTGTGCCCTGAAGAAAGAAACCACAAGACAGCCCCCCACTGCCTTGCAATTGTGGCAAGAATCATGGCACTGGTCAAAACTCCCTTCTCTTTGTCTACCAGTTCTGAATAATCTGATACAGGTGTGGGACTTCTTTTAACATTCAGATGTACTGTACTTGCATACCAGGAAGTAAAAAGTGTACAACAGCAAGTTCATCATGATCCTAAAAGTGTACTAAAAATGGACCCTTTAAGGTACCATACTACTATTCTTTCTAGTGGCAGCATGCCATCCATGCCCACCCCGGCATGGACTGGCAGCGCAACAGGCAGAGAGGCAGGCTGAGCCATGAGCATTGCTAGGCCCAAGACGTGCGGGTGCCCTACTAGGGACTGGCTCTGCCCACCCCCGCCCACACCACATGACAACACTGCTGGCCAGACAGTGTTGTCACGTGGTGTGGGAGGAGGGGGACAGAACCAGTCCGGTTTGGCCTGGATTCGAGAGCTTAGCCAATGCTCAAGGCTTCACCCCCTCTCATGCACTGCCTGTCAGAATAATTGTGCAGGAATGAATCAACCATGAATGAGTTGGGTACAAGTACTAACCCTAAAGTGTTGTACCTCTTGTAGGCTAACCCACTATAGCATAGAGAGAACACAAACATATAGTTTGACACACCCCCATAGGCTAAGTGGGAGATAGTAAACACAACAGACGGTCACAAGACCAGTCAAGCAAGAGAACAAAGCAAAGCAAAGCCCAGGGTGGATCTCAAGGACACCACACAATCTGAGCACAAGCAAGCAGCCACAAGGCCAGCTCACATGCAGAGTTATAATAGCAAGGCAGTAAACTGATCACAACCTAGCAAGAGTAAACAAGCAGGTATAAAAATATATATCAGTGTGCAACAAGAGCAAGTCAAGCAACCAGCAGGTGAGGCAGAGTGGGCACAAGCCCAAGAGCAGTGCAGAAACGCTGATGATCACCAGACCCAAGGGCCTTAGTGAACACATCAGCAGTGTTGGCCCGCGAGGCGGAGCTGACGACGCTGCTGCAGCTCACGCGCAAGGAAGTAGCGAAGAGCAATGTGCTTTGTTCTGTGCTCCAGTCTCTGCTCGTGACACAAGGCAAGCATTGCCTTGTTGTCGACGTACAGAACTGGAGGAGAACGATGCCGCTCCCCCAAGTCGGTCAGCAGGTAGGTCAGCCAGCGTAGCTCCTGTGCAGCCATGGCCCCAGCGTAGATCTCGGCCTCACAGCTGGAACCAAGCATAGAAGAAGAACGAGCGGACCTCCACGAGACAGAACCAGAGCCAAGACTGAAGGTGTAACCCTGTGACGACCGCTGCGTAGCCAAGTCGTCAACCCAAGAAGCGTCGGAGTGTCCAGTGAGGACAACTGGACCCCGTCCTCCAAGCACGAGCCCCATGCCCGATGTACTGCACAAATAGCGCAACACCCTCTTAGCACCCTCCAAGTGCTCTAGTCGGTGTCTCCCGGGCGCAACGTAGCGTGTCAGGATGCTAAGAGGGTAGGCAAGGTCAGGTTGAGTGCAGGTCATCAGGTACATGAGGCAACCCACAAGCTCTGGGTATGGACCAATCGGCTCTACGGACTCGTCCGAAGGTGGAGCTGAGAGCGAGTGGCCGGTAGACAGAGGAGTGGGCTGTGGCAAGGAGAACTGGAAGCCGAAGTGCTGAAGGACCTGATGCACCATGTGTGACTGAGTCAGGGTGATGGTGCGCCGTGCTCTGTCTCGGGTGATCTGCAAGCCAAGATAGCTACGCAGCTCACCCATGTCAGTGCAGGTGTGTCTCTCCTGCAGCTCCGCCTTCACTAGGGCCAGCGCCTCAGTGTCAGCAGTAGCAAAAACCAAGTCGTCGACGTACACGAGAAACGTAGAACGGCGGCAGGGTAGTGTCGGTGCGTAGAAACAGCGACGGGTCAGCAGAGGAAGGAGCAAACTCAAGAGCCGCAAGTGTAGTCCTCAGTGTCTCGTGCCACTCTCGGGGTGCCTGGCGGAGACCGTAAACTGGCCGCCGGAGGCTCCACTGGGTACCCGCAGGAAACGACCCAGTGAAGCCGGGTGGGCGGCGCAGCCAGATCTCCTCATGAAGGCTGCCCTGCAGGAAAGCTGTGAAGAAGTCGAGGGAGTGCAGCTCATAGTCACGCTGTGCTGCAACGTGCAGCAGCACCCGAAGAGTAGTCATCTTCGGGGTGGGGGAGAAGGTCTGGAAGAAGTCGACCCCCTGTCACTGACTGAAGCCTCGAGCAACGTAACGCGCCTTGAAGGCAGGCGGAGAACCCGGTGGCCGCTTCACTCTGAAAATCCACATGCCATCGATTACGTTCGCCCCAGGAGGAGGAACCTCGTCGACGTAGGTGCCTGTTGACTTCCAGGAAGCCATCACTGCGTCCATGGCTATCAGCCACTGAGAGGGGTACTCACCCGCGACCGCCTCAGCGTAAGAGCGCGGGGTAGGGATGTCAACTGCATCCGGGTCTCCCTCAGGGCAAAGCAGCATGGATGCGAAACGACGTAAA